TATGGAAAAGAAAAACTATCAAGGGTATAGTAGTGAATGTAACCTCTGTCCAGAGAAAGTGAGATGTATGGTCCTCTGTCCTATGGGTATCCTACAGTCACTAGTTGTGTCCTACACTATATACTGCAACACAGCAGGTCTAAAACGGTTTTGGGTAGGCAGGAAGTTCACACTGTAAAGATGACAAAATTAAGAGCACTCAAAAAGTCATTATGCATGCAAATAATGCCTAATTTTTGAATGTGGTGTTTGTATGTGTGAATAGTGCCCAAAACAAACAAACAAACAAGCCAGAGGAGCTACTCTGATCACAGCTGCAAAAATATGACAGTAAATAGTGACTAGTGGTAAGACAGCTCCAGAAAAATCTTGGAAAATTTATCAATAATATAAAACCAATCTTTAGGAAGCCATATATGGGAAGTCTAAGAGTGGCAGTACAGATTTGCAGTTTGATGTTTGTTGGCAGTATACAGTGTGTAGTAGTATTAGTACTGTGGAATTGGGACATAGCTTCTGAATAGATGACTAGTTAACACATTATATGTTGTGTCCAGTTGACATCACTTTAAAGAATACATGGGTTTTATTGCTCTGCCATTTCCAGGCACTAAAGGTGCCAAATGCATCTTTAAAAATGACTAAATACACATCATGAATCAGGCCCACAAGGAGGTGATAGGGGCAAGTAAAAGCCATGGAGTATTGGCTGTTAATATGTACTTTTCCTCTAACACGCACACACACACACACACACACACACACACACACACACACATTCCTGCAGCAACATCTTGCACAAACCTTTCCTGACACTGTCCCTCTGCCCCGGAGCAGCCCTGAGGATGCTGCCTCAGATCAAGGTCATCACAGTCCCCCGAAGCTGCAGCTAGAACAGTCACTGAATGATGCAATGCCTGAAAAGGGCCCTTACATCTACAGATAAACATGAAGTGCACTTGCTGCTTCAAAGTGATTGATAGCACAAGGGCTAAAACAAATGACTCTCTAGACGACCTCAGAAAATAAAAACATTTGTACACATAATTTCTGCAGTTCTGTGGGCACATAATAATAAGGTGGTAATGATTTAATTCCAAAATTAACACAGAGTTTCGGAGATGATTCTCTCAAATTGTCTTCACAAGTTGAAAAGCACAGACGAGGCCTCTCTCTGACTTGAACTGAAATGTGGATGCACAGAGGGTGTGTAGGGGGTTTCATTGCAAAAGCCACCATCTGGTGTGAGCACGTGGTGTTGCTCACCATGACCAATTGTGTCATTAGATTATTGAATAATTAGAGGAGGGATCATGTCTACCCAGAGAACATGCCTTTCAAGTGTATCAGGGTGTGTGACAGAGGTCTTGATCTCTACATGATACAGTATCTGCAGTAATATGCTTGGAAAATTATAACTCTGGGCAAAGTTTGAGACAAACACAACTTTCATCAACTCAAAATGACAATAAACCATTTTGTTAGAATAGCTGTCAGGCCCTGAATCTCAATCCCAGTTTCCCTGTGCAGTCATTGTATCTCCCTTTGAGTTGAGTGTCCCTGTTGAGTTGACTTTTAAATGAGCCTTAAGTTGCTCTGGGCAGTGAGGAATCTTTTATTAATGAAGGCTGCACTTTGTCTCAGGTGAAATTGTCTCTACAACATCAAGGGACTGTCTTAAAGCCACCTACTGCTACAACACCAAGCTAAGCGGGTTTTCTCCCACTTAAGATCATTTACTGTTTAACTCAAGGAAACTGTGGTTTAGGAACTTTCTTTGTGGTCAGGTGGGACAGCAGAATGAAAATAATGATATGTATGAAATCCCAGACTCTTATAAAGAAAATGAGATTAGTGTGGGGAAGCAGTTCTCAGATTTAAGTCTGAGTCAGCTGCAAATCTCAGATGGGAGAGAGTGATCCCAAAATGAGATATCCACCATTTGAAAAAATTGACACCTACAATACTCCTACCAAATGGTTGTTGGCATGAAAGTAAAGCACATTATGGTCTACTATTGAAGTCATCTTGAGACCCATATAGTAGCTTGGTTTTTGAGATCTTCTTGCAGGCTTTCTTTTAAAAATTAGGTGTGTATGGTTTTTGGAATAGATAGTTTTTGGAATAGTTTCTGGAAAGATCTGTAGACCTGCAGGAGGATGTACAATGCTGTTACGTTTGTCTCTCAGAATGCCTTCCCTACAAAAACAAACAAACAAAAATAAAAAACCGTGACAATATGCCACAAACATTTTACACAAGTAAACTAATTTCATTTGGGGTTAGTGGCCTACTATCTCACTGCATCACCCCTCATTTAATTTGTACAAATTACAGAGAAGGTTGATAGATAAAGTAACAAAACTGTCATCTAGCTTAATTCAAAGAGTGTAAAAATCAATACTGTGCCAGTGTGTATTACAGTCTGATCCCATCAGACTTCATTTAACACTGTTAACCCTGGGTTTTTAACAGCTGACATAGCTCCCTACAGCATGCACATCTAAATACTGGTTACTGTTTAATAAAGTATTTAATAAGTCTGTGTAAATCTTTGGTGACATTATGGGCGATAATAAATAGTACAAGTTAAGTATGACTGAACAATATTAAATTAACTGACTCACACTAATTTTGATCTTTTAACAATATATGGTGTTTTCTTAAAACTTATTCTGTTGTGGGCACTTGGATTTTGTTGTATTAAAACGTTATGCTCTTGTTTTCTGGGGTCACCATACCGGAAGTGAGGATTAATGGCGCAGGTGACTTCGCTAACAAATATCGCGGATGAAGTAAACGTGCAGGATCTTTGCTAAATGTCCCCTAAGCTGCAATTCAAGATATGACAACATTATTTGTTTATTGAAGGAAAACTGATTGGTGAATAAAACGTTTGCAGTGTGTAAAATCGCACTTAACCAGCCTGCGGACATTGCACATGTATAAGGACAGAATTGACATAGAGTTATCATGTCCGCCTGTGAAATAACGTTAGGCTACGTCATTAGAGCTAGCTGGTTAGCTAGCGCAGCTAACGGTACTAGTTTGCAAACCTGTTTGATCTTGCTTTTCGAGAAAACATTACGGACTAAATCCTTCCTTTCGTCTATTGGAAACAGTAGAAGATGCTGAGTTGTGAAACACTGAAATAAACATCTTGAGCCACCAGTTCTGCAGTAACAAGTCAATCAGCAAAAGACAGGAAGAGGTGAAAACCGGACGGCTGTGTACATGGACCAGCTGTTGGACAGAGAGGTATGTTTACAAAACAGGCCACTTCATTAAATTGTGTAAACTTTCTTTGTGTGTGTGTTTGTTTAGCTAAGTTACTCAGTATATTAGGAACACTAAGTAATGTCCTGCAATATCACCTACATGCCTTTATGAAGATTAAGGTTTGTTTTTTCTTTAACTTGAAACTTTTTAGATTAGTTTTAGTTCTTTTTAGCCATTTGGAGGCTGTGTGGTGTGTGGTGCAGTTGAGCCGAGTTGCTGCCACATTTACACATCTAATGTTCTGAATTGCTCTGCAGTAGAAGTATAAAGCAGCAGAAAATGGAAATGCTCATGAAAAGTACAGTGTACAGTGCGCCTCAAAATTGTATGTACTGTACTTGAGTACACTACTTGCATTTAGTTGATTTTCACTACTGTCAGGGTTATTATTAAAATAGTTAATTAGGATGCTAAAGGCAGAGCACCATGTTCATTTAATGGTTAAAGTTTAGTTAACAGTTGCTGGCTGAATCCTGTGAAAATCGATTGGATCAATAAGAAATGATATTAATGGCCACATTGCGTTGAGTTGTGTTGATTTGAAGCTACATTAGTATAAGTGTGATAGCTTACTGTGCTGGTTGGAAATGTTTCCAAAATAAGTGCTTGCATTCTTCTCTCACATTTGACAGTTTGTGGTTTATGTTGTGATCGCTGATGCTTTGTTGCACCTGCAAATCAGGAAATAATGCAGACAATGCAGTGACCTTTTCAGTTATTTTTGATGCGGTTTTGGCAAAAGCGGTGCATGTGACCCTGTTTGCGTTGACTGATTTCATCCACCTCACAGCTGATTGTCTATCTTGTACTCTTTGGATTTAGTATATGAGGTCCTGGCCTTTATTGTGTCTGTGTGTGTCCTTTTAAATTGTGTTTTACAGCAGCATTAATCGAAAATGAGTTGATGAAGACAAACAGAAAATATTGGAGTATTGGTTTTAATTTTGGGATCTCATTCATGTCTGACTGCCTGTGTGGTCACATTCTGGTCATGTGCTAAGTGAACTGTAGTGAATTGAAGTGAGGGGCCTAATGTCTGTTACCTTGTCATCTGTGCTGCCCTGAGATGCATTTGACAGGCTGTCTGACTCCTAGTCACACAGGTTTTATGGCATTTCAAGCCTCTCATTGAAATGATTTATGTGGCTGGCACAGATGTTGCTCAGATCCTGATTTTTCATTCAATTACCGAATCTATTTGGTTGTTTTAATTATGGCTATGAAAAGTCCCATATCCTTCCTCTTCAGCTGCACTCCTCAGCCCATATTAAGGCCCTGGGATAATGTGGCCGTCCGTGCTGCTGCCGCGTACTCCTTCCTCATTCCCTTACTTTCTGTTTATTGGTTAGGAGATTGTAGTGTAGTTCAACAAAACCAGTAAGAGGTGTCTGATTCAGGACCAGAGTCTGGTACATAGTGTACTGCATTTGAGCTCTCTGCTGCTTTGAATGTATGTGAAGTCCTGTTGTCTCTGTGTGTCATTTGTATAGGAAAAATTTAGAAAGCTTTAAGAGCCACATAAGTTCAATTATGACTCCAGTTTACTTAGCCTAACTTCTGGTTAATGTACAGCTTCTGTGCTTAGTATTTTTAAGTAAACCCCTTTGAAACTTTCTTCACTTGTCATTGTACTATGGGGACATAACTGTTAACATACAGTTGCACGGTGCATAGACATTTGAAATGCTTGAATATGTTAAATACAGTGGTACTGCTCTTTATGCAGGATTCAGCAGTTTATTAGTATGGGCTTTAATTGTAATAGTTTTATTATATCAGCCTAACATTGTCTTATGAGAACATTAGAAGTTGGTTAAACTCTTTAAATTGGAAAGTTTTTGTGTGTATAATATCTATACAGTGCAAACTAAGTATTCTTTTTAATTAAGGTACTGTAGCTGTACGGGTGGCAATACAATTATCCAGCAGGACTCCCGTTTTACTATGTCAATAAATATGTAGACAGTCTTCAGTACCAATAAATATATACACAAGCACAGTCCTATTAAAACTTTTATTATGGTTTAAGGAATCTGGAGCCAGTTTATAGTGTATAGGTTTTACAATTTTTGTCCAGCCAAAACTTACTGTCAGCTTTTTCTCTGAATTTCATAAAGTACAGGAATCATTCTGTCACTCATTTTGTTTCAGTTAAGGGTGCCACTTTCTTCAAACAGTGGCTAAGTCGAGAGGCAAAGATCATTCATTTTGTTCCAAAGTTTGTAACACTGCAACCTGTCCATCATTATCACTTTGGTTTCTTTGAAATAATATTCAAACACCCACAGAGCATTGCTCTTGACAGTCAAACGGCAGCTTGTGACACATCTTAAGTTGATAAGATAGATAAAAAGATGCACATCCTCAGTTCTCGGAAGTGCACATCAACAGCCGCAGTGGCGCTGCACTTATCTGAAGCTCTCTCTTCAGTCCTTGGGGGATCAGTTTGGAGATGCACACTACCTGTTTTTTTTTCTCTCTGAGGTTTTGTTTTTCCTACTTAAGTGGCTGAGCTCTTCTGCACGGTTCCAGCAGACCTCATGCATTTTTATTGCCATCTGGAGAATACCAACAGGTCTTAACAAGGGGTCTCTCGCCGTAAAAACTGCTTACCGTGGAGACGGACTCAGAGTCAACTCGACTCATTTGACCGACTGTGACCTGTGTGTCAGTCTGTCTGTTCATGTGCACATGTTTGTTTGAGGGAAATGTATAGTCAAAGCAGAGTCGTATATGCATCAGTACATTTTGTTTGTGTTTGATAACACACAAGCACAAATCTTGTCTCGTGCCTCCTCCCTCCTCTCCCAGGAGCACCAGAGTTTGATGGGCCATCCAAGACGCCGGTTGACATTTTGTCCCCAGTCCGACCGGATGTCACATAAAAAATTCACTCAGGCGAGAAGCTGGCAGGAATACCCAGCTCCCCCCTCTCACAGTGTCTGCCTCTCGGTGGGGAGTGCAAGGTGAGCAGAACTTGAGCTTGTCATGGCTGCACGCCTCTAACAAACATAAGTAGATGCTAATGGCAAAATCGTGACAGAGCAGAGTCCCACCACCATATGGCTAATTGCCACAACAATATCCTCTGTGTTATTAATCACGTTTTCATAGTGTGCCATGATAATTGGAATAATTAGGAGGGGAACAGGCACTGGGATGTCTCTGCAACATCCCTTGCTTGGAAAAAAAATACAAACCCAGCAACAAAAACGTATCACTTTCCCTTCCTTGCCCACCTTGTTTGGCCGTCCCTTCTGTCCAGTAGTATCCTCATTCACCTTCCTACCCTTCTTTTTAATTCACGCGCCCCGTTGTCTCCAGCAAGCTTTCCTTGCTCACTCATTCCCTCAGCCTCCTTTACCTCACTAATCGCTCTCTAGCTCCCCATTTCCCCATCTTGTTTACAGATTTGCAGTGAAAAATGGAGCTGATAATTAATGAATACAGTGACTGCCTGTCATGGGGACCTTGGTTGTGAGTAGTTCTGGGGCATGGTGGGGGCATTGCAGGTAACTGAATGAGGCCATATGCCGCACTGAGTCTGAACAGTGACTGTTTGGGGTTAATTAACCCTTGCTTTCTTAGCAGTTTATGTACTCTAGTGTTGGCGGTTGTCATGTTAACCAGTTTTCTGTAATGTAGAGGCAGAGATGTTGCTTGTTTCTGTTGGAAAAGAGAGATCAGTGAGTCATAGTTACTTGCTTATTATGGAAAAGACGTATGTTAAATACATTATTCAATCAGCTGGACCTGTAATAAAACCATAATCTTGTATTGTAGTTAGGTATAGACCTTCAAAATTCAATGTATAGTCTGCAAGGACTCCTCTTTTAAAGTATTTTGAGTGCTGTGATTTACTATTTAGAAATCTGCTCTGCTGTTTGGCAGATAAATCTCCCTGTTTATTCAAGATCTTAGCATCTCAGTCATGGCCCAGGCATTTTAAAAACCCAACTTTATTGATTCTGACAGCGAGTCAATCAATAGAAGATCTGTAGCATTACAAGGCTATTCCATCTGGGCTTCCTCTGCCAAAACAGTCCAGGTGAGCACTCCAACTTCTCTGAGCAAACCCTAATGAAGATGCCTTTTCTTGAGCTGCATGACCTCTGTCTGAAAAGTAATGATTGGACCAACAGGGATGGAAATCATCCGTGGGTTAGAAGGGAGTAATCATGGATAGGCAGAAGGAGTAAATAGTATAGCTGTATGTTTTTTAAAGAGGTACAGGAACAGCAATGTATCCTTTTTTTTACCAACATTAAGACTAAACATACATTCTGGATAATGCATGGGAGTATACTGACCTAGCCAGAAGATTACTAATTTAGTTTGAAACAGAAGTTGTGCTTTGGACATCAGCAATAGCAATATCTGATGATTGTAACTACATTTATTCTCTATGTTTAAATAATCAAATAAATTATTCATACAACAGCAATGTCACAATATATGTTTTGGGAGTGGGGACTGCAAGACAAAGTTCACATGAACTTGCTCAGTTTTAAGATGTGTGGTCAAACAGTTGGACTATATACTGGCACCTTTCGTTTTTTTTCATAGCAGTTAGCTATTAGCCTAACAGTCGCTGTGCGTATCTGTGGTGAATGGGAGACCATGGACAAAACTGGAATTATTGCTCTTCTGCAAGTCTATGCTTGGTTAATGGGTGTTTTGATAAATTACCCTTATTGGCTTCTTACTTGCAAAGGTTTTATTGCCCATACAGTAACAAGCGTAGTTGTTGTCAATACGAGTAATGTGTTTCATGTTGTATGGTGTCATTTTCTCCTCTGCGGCCTTGCTGCCCTGCTGTCACTTTGTGTGTGAAATTGCTCACGCGCGCCCTTGGTCAAACACCCACACAGAGAGGAGAATCTGCATGCACCATAAACACCAAAACCATATTTTATGATCTGCTTATCTCACTCACTGTTCTCTTCAAGTACCGACAAAATGCTCCCGGTCCTTACGAGCAGAGAACTGGTTTAGAAGCAGCATCGCAAAGAATTCAAAATCAAACCTGTGAAAAAAAATCACGTGCATTAAAGTTGAATTTCAAAATAAATGTCCCTTGCCTGCTTCCCCTGTAATGCAGTTGATTCTGGATAGGCATTTACATTCCCATATTTAAACAGAATTTCATGTGGAATTCTTTTTTATGAATGCTGTTGAGCAGCGTCTTGGCGTATTTTAGGTTAAATTGGAAAAGGTTTGCAGAATCACTTGTTGTATATTATCATTTTACTGTGCTCTCTAATCACTCCGAAGGTCTCTGTAATGACTAGACTCTCTATTTAAGCAATTAGCCTCTCAAGGGCACCCTGTTAACACTATTCACACCTCCCTCAGTATCGCTTATCAACACTTCAGATGATACCAGCCAAAGACCAAGCTATTTTTTTCACTCCCACTTCCCACTCATTCAGTTTTCTTTTTCACAACTCCCTCTCTGTCTCTATCATTCTATCACTCTGTCATATGCACACATGTAACCTACATGCATGCAACTCTGTCCTCACGAGTCTCAGGCTAGAGCTTAGATCTTTGTGCAAGCATCTCTCTGGAGAGTGAAATAACTGTATTGGTCAAATTAAACCTGTAAAACTGTTGGTCGGAGTTGTTCCAAGATACAACAGAGTGGGTACCTAGCTGAGGCTAATACGCTGAAGAATGTTTCTGGTCTTTTCTTGGCTATATTCTAAGCTAAATAGTATCTACTACTACTTTACTGCATAGTAAAATTTGAATAGTTGCACAGTGTAACAAAGATAAAACTATTTTGTTAGCATTCAATGACTATC